TTTTAGTTTAGGTATAGCACTAAAAGCGCTTGAAATATTGCAAAAACATAATAATAATAAAATGTTACTTTCCACGTATAAAACGCTTGAAATTCTGAAAACGATTGTGTTCTCCAAAGAGGTTAGTCCTTGACGTTATCCATGGCTCTTTTTCCGGCCTCAAAGATATTTGGTTTCAATATACCGAAGTCAAAATGAAGACAAGTCCAAGTTTGCATCGAAATCTAAATTTCTTTCCAGGTTAATGAATTCATATTCGATTGTCTTCGGCTGATCGGACAAGTTTCGGTTGACCGCATTCTTGCATATTTGACATAAATTAGCTACAGAGGCAAACAATGGTGGGAGGGGAATTTTTTGAATTTTTTGGAATTTTTTACTTTTGAATGTTTTATTTACACTGTTTTAAAAGCGCGTTTTTTAAATCGGCTTTGTAGCGACGGTCTCAGTCGGCGGATTTTTGTAATTTTTCAAACATAGAATGCTGATTATCTGCACATTAAGACTTTGAAATTTAAAGGAAATCGATGGATTTTTGCGCGCACAAAAAGGCAAAGAATTTTAAGACCACTGTTTGAATATCGACTTGTGTCGGCAATCGCGGCATCAGATTAAAACCTTAAATACACCACCAGAAGGTTTAAGGATTCAACTATCACATAAGTGAAAATCAGAACTATACCAGAATTTTTGATGCGAAGCGAGCGATTTTAAAAAAGGACAAATTTCACCCGCCGTTAGTTGGGAGTAACCTTAATTGTGATCACTCTACAATGCAATGCATAATTTTGTCCGAGTATTGGACAAAGAAAGCAGTTTTCACCTATGTCCCGATTTCTGCCCAGTAATTCCTTGGTCTGCAGAGTTTCTCAGGTGCTGAGTCATTGAGAGCTATAGGTTATGTAACCTTTTTGTGTGTAATTGCGTGTATTTGTCGACAAGAGACATTGAAATATTTTGCGTCGTACTACCATCTTTTACTAACAAAGAGCCGTCGTCCCTGGACCGGTAGAATTAGTAAAATCAGTTACTTCATTAAGCCGTTGTCCTATCTATTGTTATGATTCATTTTCTCGCTTGTTCTCTGCTCAGGAATTAGCTCTCCTTGTGACTTTAGTTTACACTAAAACTAAATATGATGAAAACATGTGACCTAGATAGCAAATCCTGATTGGACGTCCAGCTTATGAATTATTAATGAGTGATCCCATTATATAACGACAAGATCTTCCTGACAGACTCACTCACTCGGAATCTTTGGTGCGAACAGCAGCACTGGAAATCGAGACGGTTTTTTTTTTAAAAGGTAAGATATAACTTAGAATTAACCAAACTTTCTGCCAATGTGTAATCCTAGTGAGGTCATTTCTTGTATGACGATAACGCCCTACTTTTGGAAGAAGAAAGGTTTTCTTGGGAGTCATTCGCGGTCGAGAAATGTTGACTGGTCGGATTAACGAGATTCAAACGTAACAAGGTTTTCTTGTGATTTTTCAGACAAACATGGTTGCTGTAGTAATAATAGTGATGTTCATTATGATGTCTGGTGCTGAAGGCAATGGTCACTGGTCAAAGTGCGTTGGAAGACCATCAAGTGATGGTTTTAAGGACCCCGCCTATTCCTATACACCAGCCTCGGCAGGGAAAGATTTACCTGTGGGAAGAGCTCGAACATGGTCCTCTACTTGTAAAGCTTGGTTTCCATTCATTCCATTTCAAATGGAATGGAGGCTTGGGAGCAGTCAATTCTATTACTTAAGGTACGATATCCTACTTGAAACGAACCTGGTTTCATTGCTAAAGTTCGCTCTAAACTATGTCTATTAATCATCACCTTCAGTGGGTTGACGTCTATCTCTGTCTTTTAATTGCGAACTGTCAGCGAAAATTAAATTGCAAAAAATCACATACATAGATTAGCTTGCATTGTTTCCTGGCATACCACTTCGTTAAAAAATGGAGGAGATGCCTTATCAGGAGTTGTCCTGGAAAAAGTATTTACACAATTTACAGAATATAATCTTGTGTTTCCACGCTTTAGGAAATTCAAAGGTGGATTTAAAGACAATGGCGAGGATTACAAGTGGGTAGATTACAAGGACTTTCATTACAACAAAAAGCCTTGCACACCAGTCAAGCACGTTGAGTCGTCATCTCAAGTGTTCTGTTATCTGAAGCAAGCAAGATTGAAGACATGCGTAGAGGGATGGAAAAATTTAAACATTTTGGGAGGATGTAACGAGGATGATGGGTCATCATTTGCAACCTATTGCAACAGAGCGTTTACCTTTGACTCGTCGTACACAATCAACAATGCAAAGGTGCTTTGTTTAAGCAAAGTGGCCAGAAGAGAAGTAGAGATAACCCATGCTGACCCTGTTACAGCTTCAGGCTATCAAAAGCCAGCATTGATATTGACAGGTAAGAATAGTACTTTCATCTAGAAAAGTGATAAGTTAATTGGTCGACGCACCGGTAGTCAATGGTCCTCCTGTAACGGGAGAAAATTCATCAAAATTGTTTAAGGACACAAATCAGTTATTTATTAAACAAATTGGCAATAGTAAAAAATTGGCAAAACATTGTGTCACGATATTTACCTAGCAGGTAAAGTTAGAGTTTTTCTAAAAGACACCTGTTGTAAGTAATCTATAATTCACTATTTTAGTCACGATAGTAGGTAACGCTGATCTCACCGTTAACTACCTGGAAACAAGCGTTAAGACCAGGAATCGAAAGTGATGAAAAGTTACTTGTACCAGTTGTACGCTTTACTTAACTTTCTAGTTACAGCCAACTCCTGCGTATGTTACCTCATCTTATGACATTTTTACTCTAATCGATTTGATTGGATTTTGAGTTTTACGGATTATGGATCTGTTAGTTAATAATACATTCATTGCCTGTAACAAAAGAATCTTGTAACCGAGCTTATCGTATAAATAGATCTGAGAATCATTGTAACATTAGAGATTTAGAGACCACTCTCCTAGCATCGAGCTTGACTCATGCTAGTCAAGAGACCACCTAGCGAATGCTAGCTACCAGTGTTGAAGATTAAACTAAGAGTTAAACCAGAATTTACTCCGTGCTCTGTGTCCAAGTCTCGTGCCGTGTCGTAGGGTAAAGTTCAGATTACGGGACCTGCAATTCGAGTCGCTACTACCGAAGCGAGTCCACCCCGACATTCGGTAACACGAAACCCGAACAAAAATTGATACCGTAACACTTCTTTCCGGTTCAGAACGCGAGTGGGTACTCCTAAATGACAGAACTCCCCGGCAGAACTGTAATCATGACAGTAGCGTTCATTATAGAATAAAAAGAAGTTCAAGTTTTACATCACGCATTCTTGATTCTTTGCAATAATTTTTTAAATCAAGTTGCAACACTTCATTTCGACGTCAATAACATTTTATACACAATTCATGTAGTTTTAAATTTAATTCTTGATCACGGGAAATTTTGTTATGCTTCCGTATGTCTTTGTAGCCAAATGACACTTGAGGTCGGAAATTAATTTTTCCGAATTTTTATTTCCAAGGGACTTCTCTCGGAAAGCACTATAACTTTCTTTCATTTCTATATCGTGTTTATCATAGTGCCATGCGGTCTTCATATTCATATCTTTACATTATTCTATTACCGCAAGCTTAACATCTATTTCACCCCGACCTGNAGTGTTTACCTTCACTGGGAAGACAAACATAAAGGAAACAAAGCTACGCAAATAGATAAGGTAATTGGTATTGAACATAACGTATTGACAATCCTCCCTATTGCTCGAGGCAAAATAGTACTTTTTCACGGACGTAAATTTCGGTTGCATCTCTGAAGCTTTATTCCTAGTACATTGTATTGTAGGATTTCTTTGTTTTCGCCATAATATATCCCCACAATGCATTGCAAATCACGTAGGTGACGTAATAGGTTCAGATCGAAGTATATTGCTACTTTTTGTTTTCAATTTGTTTTCATAACTTTCTTTCATTTGCAGGGCAWCTTGAGGGAAGAGTTCGGAGATGGATTCATGAATGGAGGATATATTATTAATTAATATTTAATGAAAATCAATGGATTAACGACAGAGTTTCGTTGATATGAAATAAAATTAAACTTGCACATTGAATGACTCTCAGCTAGTTTCATTTTATTAGTCGGACTAGCCGAAGGCGGCCCGACTTTAGTTTTATCTTTTAGTCAATCTATCTATCGGAAGTTAAGAATTTAATAATTAACAATTGGGTTGGCTGTGTTAATACATTACCGGAAGCTCAATCGATCTCAATCGTATAGATGAATGAATATCGTTAGTAAATGTCATATGCTACTTGGCTTTTATATGACAAAAAAACTATTCATTTACAAATGTGGTATCTGTGATCTCATCGGAATGCATGCATCAGTCTAGCTAGGCATTAGAAGTACGCGCATGTGTAGATCGCATGGAGTTTCGARTTGTATGCTTACAAAACTGAATCAATATCCTTTCTAGTGTTAGACAGTMTTGTGTGGGCAAAGATTTCAAATTAGATCAAGAAGAAACTTTGTTTATCAATAACAGAAAGGCGAATTTAATGATTTTATAGGCATCTTTTTCCTTGTAAAGTTTTTATTTTCTTTGCCTGAGAGGTCAACCTTTGTCTTTATCAGTCAAAGCAAGCAACGTTCTTATCGCGTTTGTTAATTACATGACCTTTTAGGTCGAGTTTGAACTAGACGCTCTTATTAGACCGTGAGTTCGGCTGTTTTGGAAAAAAAAGTTAAGAGATATTTTTATCCATGTAATATCCTGTCTTTCTCAATTTTCACAAGCAGCTAGTCCGACTTCACGCTCCAAGAGCGTCTAGTCATAAATATGGAAAGGACTGGTGTCGAGTACACTTGGTNATTCTATTACCGCAACCTTAACATCTATTTCACCCCGACCTGCTCCCAGTCTGGCCTTGTAGCTCAGCTGGTAGAGCATCGGTGTACAAATCCGAAGGTCGTGGGTTCGAATCCCAGCGAGGTCGGAAATTAATTTTTCCGAATTTATTCCTAAGGGACTTCTCCCGGAATTGCCTCCTTCTAAGCACTATAACTTTCTTTCATTTCTATATCGTGTTTATCATAGTGCCATGCGGTCTTCATATTCATATCTTTACATTATTCTATTACCGCAACCTTAACATCTATTTCACCCCGACCTGCTCCCAGTCTGGCCTTGTAGCTCAGCTGGTAGAGCATCGGTGTACAATCCGAAGGTCGTGGGTTCGAATCCCAGCGAGGTCGGAAATTAATTTTTCCGAATTTATTCCTAAGGGACTTCTCCCGGAATTGCCTCCTTCTAAGCACTATAACTTTCTTTCATTTCTATATCGTGTTTATCATAGTGCCATGCGGTCTTCATATTCATATCTTTACATTATTCTATTACCGCAACCTTAACATCTATTTCACCCCGACCTGCTCCCAGTCTGGCCTTGTAGCTCAGCTGGTAGAGCATCGGTGTACAATCCGAAGGTCGTGGGTTCGAATCCCAGCGAGGTCGGAAATTAATTTTTCCGAATTTATTCCTAAGGGACTTCTCCCGGAATTGCCTCCTTCTAAGCACTATAACTTTCTTTCATTTCTATATCGTGTTTATCATAGTGCCATGCGGTCTTCATATTCATATCTTTACATTATTCTATTACCGCAACCTTAACATCTATTTCACCCCGACCTGCTCCCAGTCTGGCCTTGTAGCTCAGCTGGTAGAGCATCGGTGTACAAATCCGAAGGTCGTGGGTTCGAGTCCCAGCGAGGTCGGAAATTAATTTTTCCGAATTTATTTCCAAGGGACTTCTCCCGGAATTGCCTCCTTCTAAGCACTATAACTTTCTTTCATTTCTATATCGTGACACTTGTTTTGTTTTCTTTGTCAGATGAAACCAGAAACGGGGGCTCAAGAGACCACACATGGACGTTTCTACAAAAATATACAAGGAAAACATCTTCATCTTACTCCATGGAACACGGATGGCGGTTCAAAGTTACCGTGTCCTATAAATCCGGTCTTTTGAGTGATGCTATTGCAAAATGGGAGGCAAGCRTSGARRCAGARGCCTACGGATCATACACAACTTGTAACAAACGGGAAGAAACTAAGGAAATCACATACACAAAGAACTTTGTGGTAACTATTCTTAGATTGTTAAGTAATCCTTTATTTTAATATTGCACCATCGCTAACCATCGATGCATCAAGGTCATTTCTATCATCGTCCTAATTCATTCTTCCGTTTCAACATGGATAGGTCCCACCAAAAACAAACGTCAAAGTCACATTAAACATCTTCACCTACAAACTGGACATTCCATATGTAGCGAAAGAAAAGTACTTCGACGAAAAGAATAACTTTTTGGGCGAGGCAACTGTCCGTGGGACCTGGAAAGGAGTGTTTACTTTCACTGGGAAAACAAACATAAAGGAAACAAAGCTACGCAAATAGATAAGGTAATTGGTATTGAACATAACGTATTGACAATCCTCCCTATTGCTCGAGGCAAAATAGTCTTTTTTTCACAGACGTAAATTTCGGTTGCATAGATCTCTGAAGCTTTATTCCCAGTACATTGTATTGTAGGATTTCTTTGTTTTCGCCATAATATATCCCCACAATGCATTGCAAATCACGTAGGTGACGTAATAGGTTCAGATCGAAGTATATTGCTACTTTTTGTTTTCAATTTGTTTTCATAACTTTCTTTCATTTGCAGGGCA